ATATATAAGAGAGGATGTGTGAGTAAATTGATCTCAGTGTGGCTCTCTCTCTTTAAAGCTTTTCCTTTCTCTCTCCAAATATTCTCCTTCATTCTTCTTCTTCTCTTTCTACTCTATATTTTGCATGTCTGTCTCTTTAAACCAGCCTAAAGGAAGATGGGCACAATTACTAGAAATTTGTAGAACAAAATCGTAGCGGTGAGTTCTTGGCTAGATTGGTTTCAAATATTCAATTGAGATGAGCTTCCATCACTGGCCATGTGCAGCATGGACCTAATACAACAACTGTTAGGAACTGCGATTTGGTTCAAATAGAAGACTTTAAAAGGGCAAGAGGAAGGGTCCAAAAGGACATGGATAGAAGTAGTGAGAAAAGAATATGATGACTTTTGGTCTTATTGGGGACATGGCCCTTGATAGAGAGGAATGAAGGAGCAAGATTCATGTAGCCGACCCAAACTAATTGGGATAAGGGTTCGTTGATGATGATGATGATCTTCCATCCCTCAACCAAATATATTCCTTTATGCAAAGTAAAGAAAATAAAAAGAGTGCTATGCTGCTAAACAAGTAATGGATCTTTCTGCTTAGACTCAGCCATATTACCTCCTAAGAGCAATAAGGGGTCGATCTTGGAAATTTGAAAAGGGGGGTTCCAATCAAGGAGAAAAAGTAAGATGAGTGTGATCATTGTAGTGGAATGGTCATATAGACGTGATCATTGTAGTGGAATGGTCATATAGACTAAATTGTTCAGATTTAGTTGGTCAGCTAGCAAAATTCAATTGCCCTAGGCAGTTTAATGCACATAACATTGTATCCACTGGGAGTTCAACATTTATTAATATAGATCAGGCGCTACTTGATGTAACTCAACCCTCACCTACCCTAAGGAGATGATATTAGTTCCTAAACAGGAAATTGAGAGCTTACACCTTTTGTTCACTTAGATGATCCATCCACTACTTCTACTTCGTCTTTTGCTTACTTATCCTACTTCTATTAATCATGTCTCTCTTTATCCATTTGGACAATTCCGGATCATTGGTTTTGGAGCATTGCAACATATAACCGATATATCTCCCTTCTTATTCCCTTTGTTCTACTAGAGACAAAGTTAGGATTGTTGATGGATCTTTTTCTTCCATTACTGGAAAAGAAACTGTATATATTTCCTCTCAATTATCTTTGTCATCAATTCTTCATGTTCCTAACTATGCTACAAACTTGATGTCTGTCTAGATTGTAGTGACCTTTCCATTGTTTATTGAGGACCTTGACACGAGGAAAACAATTGGTAGTAGTCATGAGGCTGGTGTTCTTTGCATACTAGACTTGCCTAATAGTGCTCCACAAGCTCTTCACTCTAGCAATAGTGTTAGTCAAGATTGGATTTGGCAATGGCATCTTTAACTTGGTCATTTGTCTCTATCTAGTTATTGAAAATTTTATTTCCTAAGTTGTTTGCTTCAACTAGTGTGTCACAACTTCAATGAGAGGTCTGCAAAGTTTTAAAACATTGTATAAGCTCTTTTTGACCAAGTAATAAATAAAAGTACTACTTTTGGTATTGTCCTTTCTAGTTTGTGTGGTCTGCCATGTTACTGCTACTTTTGGCCATTGGTATTTTGTTTATTTTGTGGAGGATTACTCTCTATTTATATGGATCTATCTTATGAAAACAAAAAATGGGGCTCCTATTATTTCAAGGTCTTCCATAAGGTGCGTTGTTTTGATCAAGAAGAGGAGTTTTGCAAAGGTGAGTTGTTGTCCGATTTGGAAGAACATGGAATAGAACATCAAAATTCTTCCTCATACCCCCCACAACAAAATGGGGTTGCTGAAACAAAGAATGGACACCTCCTTGAAATTAGCCATGCCATTCTCTTGAGTATGAATATACCCAAGGAGTACTAGTCAGAAGCTGCGCTCACTACATCCTATCTTATGGATCAAATTCCTTCTCATGCTTTAGACTGCAAATCTCCCAGTAAATTTCTTCATTCTAATCGTCACTATTTAGCGTTCCTCCTAAAGTATTTGCTTGTGTTTGGTTCACTCATTTCCTTGGTCTGCACCATAAAAATTTGGATACTAATTCCATAAAATGTATTTTTCTTAGCTATCCATCCTCTCAAAAGGGTTGTAAATGTTATAATCCAATGTCAGGAAGAAACTTGTTTCGATGGATGTAAGTTTAAGTCAACTCCTTTTTTTTTTACCTCTGTTTAGAGGGGGCATATTGTGGAAGAGAGGTCTTGCAATCCCCTTCATACCCCAATGTTTCCTGAATCTAGAGCTCGAGAACAGTGAGGAGTAATCCTATGAAATTGAAAAGAAAGAACTAAAAGTCTACACTTGTGGGAAACAAAAAGAAGTGGGGATCACCATAGCTTACATTGCCTTCAAGCCAATTACCTACGTCTGGTCCAGGTAATCCCATCAATTCTCAATGTGATGATTTGGATCTACCCATTGCCATGCAAAAAGGTAGACATAGTTGCATTGCTCAACCAATTAATAATTTTGTGTCTCTTGAGTCCTTATCCCGTTCCTATCATTCTTTTGTGTCCTCTTTGTCTTATGTTTCTCTTCCTTCCCTTGTTATAGAACCTTTAGCTCTTGTGGCTAAGATGAACTCCGTTGGGTTCTTTTGACTTTAGTAGCTAACTTAGGTGGTCATTGCACTAATTGGATTGCAAGAATGTATTTCTTCATCGAGAATTTCAGGTAACAGTGTACATGGTACCTCCACTTGGATTTCAGACCCCTATATATAAGGTAAAAGTTTGTAGACTGAGAAAGGTCATCTATGGACTAAGTTATCTCCTTCAGCTTTGCAAGGAATTGGGTATAGACTTATCCATGTTGACCATACCATATTTATCAAACAAATGAAGCTATGTCCTTGAACTTCTTTGATTGTGACTCCAAATTCAGCTAGACTGTTAGATCATGGTTATTCTTACCATTATGTGAGGCTGGAACATTTACTTTGACAACAAAACATTTCATGTGATTTTCCTTGTACAAAAAAGTGACTCCAAATCCTAGATCGACCTTTTTAGCACTATTCACAACCTGTTTTTATTGTTCACATTCCATAAATGTTAGAAACCTAGCACCCCAGGTCCTTTTATTACATTATGACAAAAAAAGACCAAACCTACCCCCACTTTAGTTAAAACATTATAAAAATACCCTATAAGTCGCTTCACTTAAATTAAAATATAAAAGATCCCTAAATTGCCTCTAGCTTTAATTAAAACACTAGAAATAACTAGAAAACTGTAAAAGCAGCAATAAACTAAAAACAAATTCCTTAAAAAAGTCGGCCTTCTCCTTCTGAATCTCCTTGCAACCTTAGGATGTGGATTATCATGAAGGGGGTCATAAAAGGATGGATTGATTAAGTCAAAAGGCTCATGGAAACTGCACATGTCATGGACTGATTTGGGGTGTGCCATTTTCTTATCACTGTCACCTTGCTCTCATCCACCTTAATTGCCTCAACGGAAACCACGAAACCCAAGAGAAGTAAACTGCTAGTCATGAATTCACACTACTTCAAATTTGCATATAGTTGTTCCCCTCATATGAACTCCAACACAAACCTTAGATGGTCCATATGCTGCCTTTCACTAGTGTTGTATATAAGGGTATCATCAAAGTATAGTACCATAAACTTTCCTATATATGGCTTAAAGACTTGATTCATGAGCCTCATAAAGATGCTAGGTCCATTTGATAACCCGAATGGCATAACCAACCACTCATGCAATCGCTCTCGCGTCTTAAAAGTTACCTTCCATTTATCACCTGGCATGATTTTATTTGATGGTAACCACTTCTCAAGTCTTTTTTAGAGAAAATTGTAGTCCCTACCAAAATATTATCTAGGCGCGGCATCGGAAAGTGGTATTTTATGGTAATTTTATTAATTGCCCTACTATCCACACACATGCACCAGTAACCATCTTTCTTGGTTGTCAACCATGTTGGCACTACACATGGGCTCATACACTCCATGATAAACCCATTTCGCACTCTAAAACTTGCCTCTGTAACTACTCATGCTCCTTAGGGCTAATTCTATGGGCTGCTTTATTTGGGAGGCTAGAACCAGGGATGAGGTCGATGTGAAGTTGGATGTCTCCCATCGGAGGTAATCCCTCATGAAGATCATCCAGTATGACATGATTGAACTCCCTCGTCAATGGCATTAGCTTAGGAAGAATCGAACTAATGGGATATTCTTCAACTTGCGCCATAGCATACAACGCACCTGACTCACCCAAATCGCTCTTGAGACTCTGTCAAAGATAAAATGAGTAGTGCTTCCCTCTTCTGAATTTGAAGCACTTTCCATCTTATAGGGTCCCAGAATCACCTTAACTCCATCGGGTCCCCTAACAACAAATGGCAGGTGTCCATAGGCACTACATCTCCCCATATTTCATCTTTGTATTTTTTTCAATAGAAAAAATAAAAAAACAAGACATCGTTTAGAAACAATTATGTCAGTAACCTTCTTGAACCATGCAATTTTATAAGGCTTGGATGGTTTTCCATCTTGAGCTTAATTGTCAACCACCTTTTGAGAAACTATATTTTCTCAACCCCCTCCATCAATGATTAATACACACTTTCCCATATGCATTACAACATGTATGAAATATGTTTGTTCGCAACCAATCATTTTCCTCCACGACTCGAAGCGTAGTCATGCTACGTTGGATCACCAATGCCTCTGCACGATCACAATAAATCACTTTTGGGTCGTCTCCATGAACCAGCTCATCTTCAATGGGATCTCCTTCAGAAGAATACTTCTTGTCCTCATCATAAAACTCCTCAGAAAGGTTTAACAAACTTTTGATTTGGGCACTGATCTGACATGCCCAATCTCGAACACTTGTAGAAACAAACACATCGTTTAGACAGAATTTCGTCAACAACCTTCTTGAACCATGCAATTTTATAAGGCTTGGATGGTTTTCCAACTTGAGCTTATGCTTGTCAACCATTTCTTGAGAAACTATATTTTCTCAACGGCCTCCATCAATGGTTACTATACACTTGTAGTACAACGTGTATGAAATATGTTTGTGCGCAACCAGTCATTTTCCTCCACGCCCCGAGGCGTAGTCATGCTGCGTTGGATCGCCAATGCCTCCACACGATCACTATAAGTCACTTTTGAGTCGTCTCCATGAACCAGCTCATCTTAGATGGGATCAACTTCAGAATAATATTTTTTGTCCTCATCATAAAACTCCTCAGAAAGGTTTAACAAACTTGTGATTTGGGCACTGATGAGATATGCCCAATCCTGAACACTTGTAGCACTTGATGTTGCTACTAGCAGGCCTTTGAGGTCACTCGACTGCCGAAACAACCTGTTTTTGGTCCAAGGCAACTTGCTGGTTGGTCGTTCCAGCAGTACTAGATGTCGAACAAGCACCCGTCATGCTACCTTTTCTTCCAAAATCACCACCTCAGGCTGCTACCCTATTTCCCCCATCACTCGCACTTGCACCACACCAGTTTGAGGGTTGTTACTGCTGAGCTTCAACGCTCTTAGCAAGGCTATAGACCTCATCAAGGGTCTAATACCGCTGCAAAACTACATCTTGAATTGTTTGGCACAGTTCATTCACATACTTGGCAATGAACTGCTCCTCCCACTCGATCACATAACTAGGGGCAGTCAAAAGGTGAAACTCATCATCCACAGACCTATCTCCTACGTGCAACACATGCATTTTTTCATATAAAGACTGTTAATAAGTTTACAGCTTCAAAAAAAGAAAGACTGTAAGTAATTTTCAGGTGGGTACTTTTCCCTTAATTTCTTTTTCATCCTCTCCCGAATATTAATTTTGGGCCTTTCCATTTTCTCTCGCCTTGCTCGCAGCTGTTCCCACCATACCAATGCACCTTTATTTAATTTAATGCCAATAATCTCCACCTTTTTATTCTGTGGCACATCCTTGTAATCAATGACCCTCTCTACTATGTTTAACCTGTCTATAAAGTCATCGGGCTGTGACTTTCCTTCAAAATCAGGAATATCTACTTTTAGATCTATGGATTTTGAGTTCCACCCATACCTCTGATCATATTCCTCACTTGACTCATCATCCCACAAAGCACGATTGTAAAAAAGGTTGTACTCAACATCATCTTGGACGGACAAAACTTCATCTCGCCCACGATCAATGCCTGCAAGCTGCCTTGTAAGTTCTTGAACTTGTTGTCTCATATACTCTACCTCCTGATCCCGCTCATTACGAGGTGGATCCATATGATACCCCTGCCTTGACCTCTTCTTGCTACCATAGGTTCATTAAAATCGCAAACACTAGGCAGATAATCAACATAACTTAGTGGAAATCAACAAGTTCTTGGCTGATTTGGAAAAACTTAGTTTAAAATCTGCAAATCTTAGACTTAGTTGTAGACTCCCAATTTTGTTGTTGAAGAAAACCTAGGCTTTGATACCAATTTTATGCAGGAAAATATATAGAAAATAAACAAAAGAGTTCAATAAGCAATCGAAACATAACAAATTTAAGTGGATCTGGTTTCAGCGCACAAAAAGTGGCTCAAAACCTAGATAGGGCTTGCTGGGACTATTCACAGCATATTTTATTATTCACGCCCCAAAGGTGTTAGAAACCCTAGCACCCTAGGTCGTTTTATTACATTATTATAAAAAATAAACCAAAACTATCTCCACTTAAGTTAAAACACTATATAAATAACTCATAAGTTTCTTCACTGAAATTAAAATATGAAAATCCCTAATTGCCCCTTACTTCAATTAAAAAACTAGAAATAACTAGAAAATTATAAAAATGACAATAAACTAAAAATAATTTCCTTCAAAAAGTCAGCCTCTCCTCCTGGATCTCCTTACAACCTTGGGATGTGGATCATTATAAAGGAGGTCATCAAAGGATGAATTGATTGGGTGAAAAGCCTCATGGGAACTTTCTTTACTACTTGAAAAACTGCCCGGTGCATCAAGTAGCAATATCTTTTTTTGGGTGAATGTGGAGTAGCGATATCATTGAAGAAATATTATACCTTACCTGCAACATAACAACTTCCATAGTCCACAAAGGAAGAGAAGTTGATGAGGGGATGGACCAGCTTGCAAATAAGGGGATCTCGAGAACCCCTCCTCTAGTATCCCTTGTAAAGAGAATGAGTTTTCAGAATCTAAGAGCCAATTTTGTGTAAAGGAAATTACACTTGTAAATTTTGATTATATGGATGAATTTAATTTTGAAAAAATACACTATAGTACTTATAGTTAATGACCTCAGGTTATGTTTATGAAATGCTCGTTTCATTAACTCCTTAGAAATTAAATGCAGAAAATCATATGTTCACATAAGTTGAAGCTGGAGTGTTATGTTGATAACTGTTCTATACATCCCCTCCAATTGAAGAGCAGTCCATCCTATGTGAATTCACTGGGCTGGCTAGTCATATTCGTCATCTTTTTGTTGTTAATAATATTGGCAATGTCATCTTTCTAAAGTGGTTGATCTTTGGCAACTTCATGGCTTGCATTCCATGTTCAGGAAGTATATGCTCTGGTGGTCTCTAATGTGGCATGTTGTTCATGGTATGGATTGGGATAATTTTTTTTATTTTAGGAATAATTACTCCATTATGTACTGTGCTGTGATCTTTTATGTTTTTATTCAAATGATTACTATTAACATTAGAGAAAGAATAAAGTATCTTTAATTATTCCATTTCATAGATGTATAACTTTTGAAGGTCCTTGGCACGGTTGGGCCCCCGCTTCCCTATACAGAGATTAAAGTTGTAGACCCAGAAACTGATGTTGCTCTTCCAGATGGGTCGAAGGGCATCGTTAAAGTTCGTGGACCACAAGTAATGAAGGGTTATTATAAGGTAATATTTTGTCCCTTTTTTTGTACAAGTCTTTTAAGGATTAAAAGAATTATAAACTGCAGGTCTTATAAACTACTGCTTTGAATACATGTTTTAAGCTATGTTTCTTTTGTTAAAGATGAGTGGCATATCAGACCTCTACATAATATTAATCAGAGATGTATATTCTTTTATTCAATTTGATTGCCACTTTTGTGAACTTGGTTATTTACTTGACATTTTCTCTGTCTGCTAAAGAACCCTACTTCGACGAGAGAAGTCTTGGATGATGAGAGCTGGCTGAACACAGGTGATATAGGTTGGATTGCACCTAGAAATTCAACTGGACGGAGTCGCCGTTGTGGGGGACTGCTTATTCTTGAAGGCCGTGCTAAGGATACAATTGTTCTTACAACAGGTAAATTGTGAAACATCACCTTTTTATAAATTACAAAATGGAACTTTTTTGGGAAGTATATGCACCTGGCCTTCCCGACTATTTTATCCAACTTTGTTTTTCTTATTTTCTTTTAAAAATTGTGAACCATTCAACTGAAGAAAATAACAATAGTTTATGTTATCTTTTGTTTTTCTGTTTTTTTTCTCCGAGTATGAAATATGGTTGCGTATGTAATGCAGTATATATTAAATTTGGAGAAAGTTATGGTAAGATAAATATTTAGTAGGGTTAGTTCGTCCCTTACATCCAAATGGACGTACAATTTTTGGAGGTTATGTTTATTGGGTGAATGATTTTTAACTTATTTTGATATACCAATTGTAAGCATGACATTGTCATCTCATCAACTATAAGGGCATTTTATGTCCACGTAGAACACAAGATATAATGTCAAATGTTGCTGGAAAATATAGAGAATAAGAGAGGAAAGCGGCACACACTATTCTCCATAAAACAAACACGAGGGAAGTGCCCTAATTCTTGTATTATAATATATACAATGTTATATCTTGAGTAAGGACAAATTTGTGCTTATACATTACAGCTAATGACTTTACAAATTTGTGCTTATACATTACAGCTAATGACTTTACAATATATAAACCACTTAAAATACATAACTGCCCTTCATTGCATTCTAACACTCCCCCTCAAGTTGTACATCATGTTTGAACATATACAACTTATTCTTTACAAACTCATGTCTATCTTTTGCAATTTTGTTTGTGAAGATATCAGGTATTTGATATTCTAACCCAATAAAACGAGCATCTATCTCCACAGCTTCAATTTTCTCACGAATAAAATGGTATTCTCTCTGAATGTGTTTAGTGCGATCATGAAATATTAGATTTTCTGAATATGCCAAAGCTGTCTTTTTTTCACAGTAAATTGTTGTTGTATAGTTTTGATCCAAGAAAAAAACAATATTTTGTATCCATGAAATCTCAAAAGTTATACCTGCAAGTACTCGATACTCACCTCAGAACTAGCTCTTTGATGTAGGGAACTTTAAGAAACAATAAAAATCTGCAAGAAAATAGCCAGACATGCAATTTTGGAAAAACCTAAGGTTTCCTACCACCTAGGACTCAAGCCTTAGACTTTTTTATCTAAAAACCTTTTTTTCCCCTAAAAAGAGGTATACGCGATTCTTCTCCAACCCATCCATGCACCTATTTTATATTAAATATTTATTATTTTGTACAATATTTGTCCATACAATTAACTTTGGACCAAAAGGTCCTAACTTAAGTAAAACTTGAAATTAATCTCCTTAACTATAATTAAATTGTCTAAAAGCCCATACTGTCTATACAATTAACTTTGGACCAAAAGGTCCTAACTTAAGTATAACTTGAATTTAATCTCCTTAACTATAATTAAATTGCCTAAAAAGTCCCTAACTAGTCCAACGATGAAATAAATAAATAAAAATATTTGAAATAGCCCCAAAACAACTAAAAAAACTATTCAAACTATTTCTTGCTCTTCTTAGAAGCCCTCCTAGGGTTTACATCCTCTAAATGTGAGTGAGAATTAAGAGGACTCTATCACTCCCAAAAAAGATATTCATGGCTACTCGATGTGCTCTGCTCATCATCATTCTCCCTGGGCTGAGGAGAACTCGCCCTCGAGTTCGCATCTTCTTCTTCATATACCTTCAGACTGCGATACTTGGACAAATCAGCAATATTGAAGATGTTTGAAATTTCCATATGTGAAGGCAAAGTGACCTTGTAAGCGTTGTTGTCCATCTTAAAATCTTGAACGGTGATCATTAGCTTGCTCTACATTCTGACTAGATGTCATTCCTTCCTGAGATACACCATTACACAGTCTCCCACATCAAACTCCTTAAAACAACGATGATTCTCTGCTACTTCCTTGTGTTTGGTTGTATTGGCTTCTAGACTAGCACATACTTGCTCATGCACTCCTTTCATCTGTTCAACCCAGTTGTCAATAGTAGCATGACCCTCCCCATTGGCCTCGACAGGAACCAAGTTAAGCAAATGAATAAAATTCTTCCAGTATACCATCTCGAACAGGCTCTTACTAGTAGACCTGTTGTGAACATTGTTATAGGCAACTCGGCTTTGAGGCAGTGCTAGCTCCCATTGTTTCTTCGTTTTCCCCACAATAATTCTCAAAAGATTGTGAAGAGGACAATTTACCACTTCAATCTGACATTCCGACCATCTGTTTGCAGATGATGCGCGCTAAGAAAATTGTAACTGAGTGCCCAATGTTTTTCACAAAGTTCCCAAAAATAGCTAAGAAACTTTGTATCCTGATCTGAAGTTATTGTCTTTGAAATACCATGCAACCTCATGACCTCCTTGAAGTACAAGTTAGCAACATGTGTAGCATCCAAGGTCTTTTTGTAAAGTATAAGATGAGCCATCATTGAAAATCTATCCACCACCGCGAATATAGAATTCATACTTCTTTGAGTCCGCGAAAGTCCCATCACGAATCTATGCTAACATCCTTCCAAGGTGCATTAGCAATAGGAAGTGGAGAATAAAGCCTGATGTTCTGTCATTGCCCCTTAGCCAGCTAACACATACGACACGTTTCAACAAACCGCACATCTTTCTTCAATTTTGGCCAGTAGTACTTAGACTCTACCAATACTATGGTTTTGTCTCGACCAAAATGTCTACCAAGACCTCCCCTATGAAGCTCTAATATTAGGTTTCTTTAAGGGAACCTGTAGGAATGCAAAGACGGTTTCCTTTAAACAGAAATCCATCTTGAATAAGAAAATTCCCAATGACTCCACGGCAACACTGGTCCCATATCTCCCTGAAGTCGTCATCATCTGTATAAAGGTCCTTCATAAAGTCGAACCCAGTAGCAATTGTCATGGTAGTCAATGGAGCCGACCTTCTGCTCAAGGCAACTGCACTCTATTCTAATTGCATGCTTTATGCCGAATAACAAAAGTAAACTCTTGCAAATAGGCTACCCATCGAGCATTTCGTTGATTTAGTTTATGTTGCCCATTAATATATTGTTATGCTTCATGATCTAAAAACAAAATAAATTCCTTTTGAATCAGGTAATTCCACCAATGCCTTAAGGCTTGAATAATAGCATAAAACTCCACATGTGAAGCATCACAATCCAACTCGAAGACTTTATCAAAGTCTTGAAGAGCTAACACAAGCACCTAAGTCATCTTCAGCTCCACCAATTGAAAATTTTTCTTGGCTTCATCAGTCCATACAAATCTCCCCTTCTTCAAACAATTTGTGATAGGTGTTATGATCAAACTTAAGCCCCTAATAAACCTCTTATAGAAGTAGCCAACCTAAGAAAACTGTTAACATCATGCACTTTAGTAGGAGTAGGCCAATCCCTGATAACTGCTGCCTTCTTTGGTTAATCCCCTCAGCTCAAATAACATAACCAAGAACAATTAGGCAGGAATTCACACTTTTTAAGGTTCAGATACAGTTGTTGTTCTCATAACAAGTCAAACACTAATCGTAAGTGCCCTTTATGCGCCTACTCCCCAATGTTGTATACTAGAATATCATCGAAGTATACCACCACGAATTTGCCAATAAAAGGCTTGAACACTTGATTCATCACCCTCATAAAAATATTAGACGCATTGGAGAAGCCAAATGGCATCACCCCCACTCATAAGAGCCCTCTCTGGTTTTGAATGTAGTCTTCTTCTACTCATCTCCAGGTTGAATGTGGATCTCATGATACTGACTTCTCAAATCTATCTTCAAAAACACAGTAACACCAGCCAACATCTCTAACATCTTATCAAGGCATGGAATTAGGAAGTTGTACTTGATCATGATCATGTTAATGGTTCTACTATCCACTCACATGCCCCAAGTCCCATCCTTTTTGGGTGTCAACAAGACCGTGACAGTGCAAAGACTCATGCTCTCTTTGATGAACCCCTTCTGTAGAAGCTTTGTGACCTATCTCTGCAACTCATCATGCTCCTTTGAGCTCATTCTATATGCGGCATTGTTCGATGATGTAGGAAAATAGAGGAAAGAGGCCAAAATTAATTCAATAACCATCAAACATGCTATATTTGAGTGGATCTGGCTTTCCTTATGCAAAAACGTTACTCCAAAACCCTAGATAGGGCTTGCTAGCATATTCACAATCTATTTTTACTGTTCACGCCCAGAAGTGTTAGAAACTCTAACACCCCAGATCCTTTTATTACATTATGATAAAAAAGGCCAAAACTATCTTTTAGGATGTGTTTCTTAGCTAGGTGTTTAACAAGGTTCTTAAGAAAAATGTTATATATGAGGACTTGTTGTCTTTTATGTAATGAGAGACACAGATGAGCTTTAAGTGGGCTTTAATGACGTTTAAATGGTATCTGAGTGAGATTTGGGGTATCCAAATCGAGTCATTAAATAGTTATATGTTGCTATCGCGTGTGTACACATCCGTTTACTGTATACGTGCATGAGCATGCTCGCGGTAGAAAGCCATAGTTTTGAAGACTGCGCTACCAGCTCTCGTTCCCCCACTTAAAGTTAAAATATTATAAAAACACCCATAAGTCCCTTCACTTAAATTAAAACATAAAATATTCCTAAACTGCCCCTAGCTTTAATTAAAACACTAGAAATTACTCAAAACAGTAAAAAGAGCAATAAACTTAAAAACAAAATTCCTTCAAAACGTCATTCTTCTCATCCTGAATCTCCTTGCAACCATCGAATGTGGATCATCATAAAGGGGTCGTCAAAGGATGGATTGATTGGGTCACAAGGCTCATGGGAACTTTCTTAACTAGTCGACGAAGTGCCCATTGCATCAGTAACACTAGGCAAAGGTTTACTAACTCCCAATTTTATTTATCAGTTTTATTTTTAGTTATTGATTTTTAGAATTCCTAATTGTATCAGGAGTGCTATTTAGTAATTGTATCAGGAGTGCTATTTAGATTAGTATTTCTA